GTTGCCTTTGTCTTACAAGTGCATAAACATAGCAAATTTTACGTTCAGCAGATTACGTTTAGCTCCGTTAGTTTAAAATTTAGAGTGAGTTGACCTCTTATAAAAATTAAAGRTACCTAACATTATTATAGAAGGCTTTTCGTAAGTTTTTTTATTATATATTTTTATTTTAAAGCAAATWATGWGTATTTTAAAATTGTAAATTGTTTATATATTTTAAAATACTCTTTCGCTTTAAAATTAAAATATAATAAAAAGCATACGAGAAGCCTTCCATAATAATGTTGCTGTTAATTTTTATAAGAGGTCAACTCACTCTAAATTTTAAACTAACGGAGCTAAACGCGATCTACTGAGCGTAGAATTTGCAATGTTATGCACTTGAAGACGGAGACAACACATGCGGGTGTRCCTTCCTCTTTATGTATCTTCATTTTCATAATTTATATCCTTCATATTATAATATTGTATTTTTCCATTTTTCAGGATCTTAAACTATCTACCTGATCACCAAAGTTACACAATGCTATATGTGCCGAGTCACACAAGATCAACACCGTACTTCGTGGGTATATTTGCGGCGTATGTTTACCGGTACTTGAAGCTTGATAAACCAAAGTTTCGTTTTCCGTATTCGAAAACTTTAATAACGATACTCATTACAATCTATCCATTGTTTCTAATGACCATCCAAGTGTTTTACATCCACGAATACAATTTATGGCTAAGCGTTTTATATACGTTTGTGTACCGAATGTTGTTTGCTACTATTGTCTCCATGTTTATAATAATATCCGCCATAAATGGTTTTTTTAAAGGTAAACTATTAAAATGTTTAGTTKCTTAGTATCTGTAAATTAATTTTTTTTTATTATGCTTTTACATTTTTATCTATAAAAAAGAAAGGAAGTGTAGATGGCTATTCTAATGTACTTGTATATAGTAGCTTGTATTGAATGTACTTCTTAATCAAGCAGTAAGTCAATCTTATATGAAAGTGTTAAATTTTAATTYAACTGTTTAATATGAATTAGGATAGTCAGGTATCCACAAGGATAGGTCAATCAACCTATATTATTATTTATCATTTTATGATATTATTTTAAATCCTTAGCTATAAAAATTTAATATTTTTAAATTTTTAACAATAAAATTATTGGTAAATTGTTGAAATTTTGTCATAATTTGAATTTAAAACACTTACCTACTTATGAAWKAATTAATCTTGACTATGTATCTTAAATATTTTTGAATATTTATAATAACATCTGATCTTGCATTAAATATTTAAGTTTTATGACCAAGGGAAAAATATTTAGTTGAAAAAAAAATTAAAAAATAATAGAAAATGTTTATAAATAGATCAAAAAGAGTTAACATATTATTTTTTAAATAATGCAAATAGAAAATGCTAATATTTACAAATGTTTAGTATAAGTTACGCCAAAACAATATCGATTTTATCAAACTTTGGGTTTCGCGTAAAAATTCCCGTTTACCTAACGTTGATTTTTTTTTGTTTTTTTTTCAATTATTTCGAAAAGTACTGAGAATTCGTTACTTTTATAAAAAAACACAAATTATTTTATTAGAATCATTATTGTTATACTCAATGAAATATATATAATACATATCATCAATTTAAGTGTATTTTAAAATGTTATTATAGGTTTGTGGTTACGTATATTTATACCATTAAGTAAATTAACATATGGAGCTTATTTGGGAGGGCTATCAATACAATTACTACAAGTAGCATCGATGAGATCACCAACATACTTTAATGATAGCATTTTGGTAAGTAATAAAATGAGTAGATAAAATATTTTCGTAAATTAATTTTTATTTTGTTTGTGCTTAATATTTTAATTTTAAGTACAATTTTTGTATTAATGCTTGCGCAAATATTGATATTTTTAAGCTTATATCTATTTATAAATTGTATTCTTACAGTTATGGTTAGGAATCGGAGATACTGTGTTTGGATTCATACTTGCTTTTTTGTTGTATACTTTAATTGAATCGCCATTTGATGTGCTATTAAAAAAATTGGTCATCGTCATCAGTCCAAGTAAAATAATACATTTTAAATTATTATTCATGTAGTACTAACATACAATTTTTTTATTATTATAATATATTTATCTTAATAATATAACGTAGTAGCTCGTACTTATTAATTTGGTACATAAATACCTTATACAGTTACAGTATATACCTAACCTATACAGCTATACATACCTCAATACCTGTATATCCATCAATCATGAATGATGTACTGTTGTCTTAAATATTTCACCAATATTTTTCGTTTATATTATGGATTTTTTGTTTTTCAGAAATAATTTTTAATAGTAAAACAAAGACAGATTCTACAGTTCCCAGGAAGATAACTCTTAGAACACTTCGGTCTAGATAATGAGATGTAATTTTAATTACATTAATTAAGTCTCAATTGAAGCCTCTCTTTCCTACCTATATTTTTATTATTTTTTCCAAAATAAATACTATACTTAATATATATTAAATAAACTACCTAATATAAAATTAAATGCTTTTTAAATAACTATATTTTTAAATTTTTAATATCGATAATTATTTATTTTAATTAAATATAAATGTTTATGATTATTATAATTTGTAATTTTATAATACCTTCACAAAGTTGTTTAGAATTACAAAATGTTGAAATTAAACGTATAGGCTGTWTAACTATTATAAGATTACTTAATTAAAAATTAAAAATTATACTACACATTATAAATGTGGATCAAACAATTTTTTTCTTCAGTATTTTTAAATTGTATAAACGCAGCTATAATGCAGGTAAGTATAAAACACACGTTATTTTAATAATAATTAACTTTGAAATTTTACAAATTTTTTACAATAAACATTATAAATTATAATATAACTTCAAACTCACAGGTGAGACGTAAGAATATGACAAATTTGGCATTCCTTATGGAAAATCGGACGGACTTAATTATACAGTAGTTACATGATCTGAAAAAATTTCGCAGTAAGGAGGGGGGGGGTGGTATTGGTTAAACCCTTAACCCCCTGTCCATGATATTGTAAATATCTATCAATTTAAATGAAAAGCCAGTATCGCATTATTTATAATTTTGAGGTTATGAAAATCTTAGTAAAAACATATATTTAATTCAGAAAAAAAAGTTKCTAAGTGAATAAAAAATATATTAACATCCAAATGGTTCTTTTTAAGGACATTTTGGTTCTAATCGGAAATGTTTTACTTTTTGGTTTTGATTGTGTTAACGCGGTACCACATTGTAGGTACATTGTTAGATATTATGAAAAATCATTCAGTATGAAAATATATATATATATATTATATATATTATATAATTTACAGTTTTAAATTGAACTTAGTTGAAAATATCTCTCCTGAATAATTTGATATTTTGAGATAGTCCTTTTGGTACTGAGCCTACAAGTTGTCGTTACTCAAAAATTTAAAATTAATAATTTATTAAACTGTTCTGCGTCAATGTAAACGGAGTAAGACAACTATTGATGGAGTTAGACAACTATATAGATATAACCTCTAAATATTAATGATTGTTTATACATAATTATGGATTATTAGCAAAATATTGAATTTATGTTCTTTTATTGATATAGCATAGTATTTATGTACGAACTACAAAAAWGAAAAATTCAGTAAACAAAAAATAATAACAATACCTAATACCTAGTAATAATACACAAATTAATTAATTTAAAGAAGTAAATAAACTACCATTTGTGTGCTGAACTCGAAATTAAAATGTAATCGGGTTATTAATTAATAATTACAGAACATAATAGGGATTTACCTAGTGTCAGGAACGCAATATTTATTTGAAATGATGTTTAATTTCTACTTTGTTTTCAGCGTTTTTCAATAATGGTGTTTACAGATAAAAATATAAATATTTTGTTCAAATAATATTGTAAGAAATATTTTGATACCTAATTTAAAAATTAAGAACAAACAAATTAATTGCTATAAATATATTATTATTATTATTGTAAAAAACGTCTGTAAATCACTATTTAGTGTATTAATTTMACACGTGTGTTTTAAATTATTTTATTAAAATTATAAATATTGAAATGTATTAGTTGATATTATCACGGTTATATACACATAGAATGTAGATGCTGATATTTATGTGTAAAGTGTATACAAAACGTTTAGTTCATTGATGAATAACTCGTAATGGATAATTTTGTTATGTAATATGTAATACCTAATAAGGCTATTAAAAACAAGTTACAATTGTAGATACATGTRGACATTAGATTTAAACATGTTTTTTAATCAATTATTATAGGTAGTGTCGAAGAAAAGTAAWTTTTAAATTTTATTTTATTCATTGATCAAAATTTATGAAAGTTTAGTTTCTAAATTAATYWATTTAMACAACTCATGCGTTTATAATAATGGTTAAAAAAACACAATTACGTATCTTCATTATAATTTATAACATAAAACATTAATTCAAGTGTTAAAGTGTCAATCATCACTTATAAGTAGAACAATATCAAATATAGACATGGTTCTTAATATATGGTTTCATAATAATTTATGGTTATAAACAACGAAGATAATAAAATTTATTTAAGACTGAGTTTTAGTGACTGACAGTTTGTTTATAAATTCTAAACACATTTATCAAATATTAATTTAAATTTATATTATTTATATAGGTATTATATAACACAAGTATCAATAATGGATTTAAGACTATTGTGTAACTTTTGAATTCTAATTATTATAATTTAATTCACACAATTTAATATGTACACAAGGCTAATAACTAGGGTTCGGATTTGAAGGCAAATGCCTTTCTTTTATTTATTATAATAGAAAAATAATTTTTATACAAAAATGTGTTTCATTTAATTTCTTAGACAATGGTTGCATTTTTTTTTGCCTTTTTACTTATAAATGCCTTTTTTTACTTTTGGACTTATAAATGCCTATTTTGTGTTTAATTTTTTCAGTTGATTTTATAATTTTATACACAGCTTGCGTATTATCGCTAAAATATTTTAACCCCTAACTGAAGACTGCCTATCAAAATACATGGTAGTCAGTTTTTTTTTAATACCAACTAGTTTATTTTGCATGCAGTTTTAAGTTTTAATTTATATTTTTCTCAAAATGTGTGCAATTGAAAGTGTTTAAAAAATGTTCACTTTTTTATTTTGTAGTTTATTTATGAATTGACTTTTTATATAAATTAAATGCCTTTTTTTATTGATTATATKGCCTTCAAATCCGAACCCTGCTAATAACCTTAGTCGTTGAAGTCTCTTTTCTCTTTCAAAAATAAAAATAATGAATTTTTATGTCTTATGTATAATTTAGAAACAATAAATACATCAAATTTAATAATTGTATCTAGTTATTGGGTAAACCTATATTTCATTAAAAATAAATTATTTACACTTACCTATACGTGTATGATTATGTTTCCAAAGGTTTAAAATTTGAACTATGGTCTTATATATTAAAATTATATGTATAGTTAAAATTCAAATGTAGAAAATGGYCTTACCAACAAAAATAAGGGCCCACCAGTGGTGTGCCCAGGAATTTTGAATGGGCGGGGGAGGCTGTTATAACTAATTATATTTTTAAATTAATTTTGGCGGTAATATCAAAGAAACYAATAAAGGGATTTATGAGGAAATATGATGAATGGAGGTGATAACTCATAGGCACGCCACTTGGGTAAACTTTTACTTTAGTACACAAATATAATTCTTTAAATTGTACGTACGTGTATCTTGAATTTGTCATTCTTCTTATTTTTTGATACTTTATGTATCAATTAATATTTTGTTACAGCTAAGGAAAAAAAATTCAGAACACACATATTATACCATAAGTATAATTTCTGCAAGGCGCGTTTCCACAATACGCATGTGCGATGTGCCGTGTGCTTGTAAAATGTTCAGCTATGTCCAACAACACAATAACCTTGTTAATCATGTGGTAACCTAACCAACCAATCACAGCAAAGGATTTCCGCGAACGTGTGTAGGGGAAACCCGCCTTTTAGTGGAAACTCGCCATAAACTAAAAGATGATTGTACCTACCTAGCTTACCAAGGTAACTGTAAATAATATAATTAATAATTATTATTCGTATATTGAAAGTTTCACCGTACTTCATGGCATAAAATTATATCCATAATTATGCTTCATATTATTTCATATTTGCGTTTGTACATCTATTCTATAAAGTAGTGGTACCAACACGGAGGAAATCAGAAAATAATGCAAAAAATATTTATTTTTTCTGATAATAATAATAGGTGGTTGATTAATTTTTCCATCTACCTACTTACCAAATTATAAGTTATAACTGAAACTACTAAGGCAAGCTTGTCAAAGTCCCTCGGGTTGGTGAATCTTTTATTCTGTTTAATATGTCTTTTTTTCTTCGTTATAGTTTATAGTAGAAGAGTTTGGTTGGTATTCCATATTCCACTAATTGTAATGCATTATTAATAAAATAAATAAAAGATTAATGACTAAACTGTATTATTATAGATACGATGAATATATTATTCGGTATAAATATTATACAATGTACATTGTATGAGTATTTTTATACTGCAGCATGATTGCATGAAAACGATTGGATAATCAACTCGGTRATCAGATTCTAAAATAAGGTAATATGGATAYATTTATGATTTCAACAGTTCAGCCATTCGTCTTTTATCTGGTGTGGACATTCAATACCATGCAATACCTAGCTATACATAACAGTTTRGATATGCGCTCGTGTTGTAATATTATTCGAACAGATAACTTCCGGGACTTGCTATATAACTCGCATCTGCATTGCCGACGTTTATGTTTGTGTTCATAATAACAATAATGTTACATATCGTTATAATTGGCGACGCGCGGATCAATGTCGAGTGCGCAGACTTTTGTTCGATATTGTTATTTATCTCGGTGCATTTCGTACGGCGATGAGTCTTCAGCCATGCAGTCGGTGACAGTGCTTATAGTGTCAATTTTAGTAGTGATTGTCTCCGGCGAGACGGAATTTTATCAACCACAACAACGATGGGTCACGAAAATACTGTACGACACGCTCGAAAGTTATGTCCCGGACGGCGGACCGACGTGCAGGCGGGATGGACAGGCATATCGTGAAGGGCTGAAAGATCTCAGGCTATGGGCAACACAAAGTGAGTCTACGTCATAACTGTAATAAACTAAAATTATACATCTAAATATTATGTACCATGCATATTTTCTATATTCATCAGGTATATATTGTATAAATTATTGTGCGTTTGTTAGTATTGTGTCAGTAATTTCGGAAACCCACCGCAAAAGCAATCCAAGTCACATTCACATATTATTAAGTTCAGTTGGTGCTCTTGTTGATTGTTACCGCCAAAAAATTGTTCAGTTATCTTGGTAAAATTTCGGTTCGTGAAATTGTAACACTGTATAAAAGAACTAAGTAGTTTTTACATTTTATTATTATACATATGAGGGAGGAGTTAATAGAAAAAATGCCCTGACTAAAATATAGGCGGGGGTGTTGTCTTACAGGGATGGAAAAATGTCCTCGATTCGAAAAAGGCGTTTTTAGTTAGCTTATATTATATGCCCTGCAAAAATAAAAATTTGTGCATGAAAAAATAATATAAGGTGAGATTYAAGCTCCAAAATTCAAAATTTCTTAATGACTTACGAGTTATGCCAATAAGTCTTGAGATTGTATAAATTACCTATAGATTGTTGAGTTAAAACTTTAAAAGTATAAAAATAATTGATAACTATCATCAACTATCTATACACCAATAATACACCGATTGCCTACTGAATTATGATGATAAATAATAAAACGTATATAATATTTAATACACGTATGACAAAGCATATTAAGATAAAATTATTAAAATAATTTTTTKAGGTTCATCAAATAGCTATAGCCAATTCATCTATCATCTAATTCGTTATTAGAAGTAATAGATCAAAATCATCATATTATGTATACTCCTACGGGTGGAACCATTTAAGTGTCTATATATTATGTTCTATACACTCATTAAATTATTTTAAAAAGTTATACTTTTTTTGAAAACACTCTCTTTACATAACTATTGTCGTTAAACAAAATTGCTGATAAGAAATGTGTACCTACTTTGAAAGTTGTATACTTTTACAATTTTTAGCGTTATTATTTTTCAAGTTATTTTACTTTCTTGGATGATTACATATATTTTTAATTATTCATATKCCAAAATAGACTTCGGAGTAATTTGATACATAAAAATTGAATTCCTAACGAGTAATTAATTAGTTACAACTTATAATAAATTAACTACTCGTTCGAACTTATAACTATATATTTAGWCTTAATGAGCAATGAGCATGATAGGTAGTGGCACAGAGGCCGAGGTACTTACCTCGCAAAATGTTGGTCTACTGCTCCGCTCATCTAACCTTTAAATACTTATTACCGTAATTATTTATTCGTTGAAAATTCAATTGTATGCATTGAAGTACTTTAAAAAATATCCAGCTTTGAAATATGAAATAACAAAGCATGTTGTAAATTGGCATTCAAAAAACTAAAAAATTATAATGATAACATTCACATTAATATCATGATATTCTTTAATAGTTGAACAATATTGCTTTTTGCTATGTTTAATTAATTAAAAGATGACCTTGTCTCTATTTTTATTTATTTATACATTATAAACGTGTAGGTACCCTTTGGTATTAATAGTATAGAAAGTATATAAAGTTTAAATAATATGACACTAAGTTACAATATAAGAGTTAACAATAATTACCTATAGGAAAAGTAAAATATGAGTATGAATACAATAAAACAAAATAGTAATAATAGTGAATAATAATTAATTGATAATACACGACATGAATTAATCCGTAACATTTAACAATACACAATTTGGTTAACAGATAATAACATATTTCAACTTTAATTTATTTGGAGTTTGTATACAATATTAGATAGGTAAGTATAGCTATACTTAATACTATTACTTTTTAAATTTTAACCAGTGTCTAGTTTATATTTTYAAACTGCTACAGTACTACTGAAGTTAGATAAATGYATCTACATCTTTTGTTATATTTAACTGTTTGATAATTTAATATACCTAATATAGTAGTTACGGAGGTAATTTAGTAGGGTTTAAACCTATTATTATATATATCGTGCTTGTGTATTGGTTTAATTAAAAATCTAAATAAAATGTTTAAACAAATTTGACTCCGATGAACTATTTTCTGTTTATCTAATWWGTTTTTATAAGRCTCTTAATTAACACATGAATATACACATATAGTATAAGAACAAAAAATATATAATATTAATACCTAATTATTATATCATTAAATATTATACTGTTGCTAGACAAAATTCTTTGCATYCTATTCTGCATGTATGATGAATTTKTTTTTTTTTCTACGGGTACACATTATAGCCAGGTTATAGGTTTATTTTATTATGAGTATTTGTAATAATTGCCGATATACCTATATTGTACAAGATCATTGAGTCCAATATAAACAAAAGTAAAACACTGCCAAATAATTAATACAAATTATATAAGTATATTTATATAACTCGAAAAACTCAATTACTGAATTTCAACGTTTAAAAAAATCATCAAGTATAATATTAAGTACCTATAATATAAATTCGCTATAAGTAATTGTAAGTTGATAAAAATGTATTAATGAAATTTCAATAACATACGATAAACTATATGGTTTGAAGAACGTTTAAATTTATATTTTAAAGTATAATGTTTCGTTCTTTTTCCTTTTTAGTGTATGACGCTTCAGCAAAGTTTCCAACAGGAATATTATCTGGGAAAGCAGTAGATTTTGGTGATTACGACGAATGTTTGGAAATCAATACATCTAGTTTAGATTTTAAGCCTCAGTATTGTATTGTGAACATACGTTTTTCACCATCTGTTAAGCTGTATCCAAATTACTACAAAACCACTCCACTGGATATTTTAAATTCTTCAATTTCTGTATGGGAAGCTGTAAAGGTAATAAAATATTTTCAATAAATTGGTTTCATTGTTTTAAACTATTAATTATATATTAATATATAATTAATATTATATATATATATATATATATAAGTTTTAAGGTTTTGTTGCTAAATAGTTACCTACGCCATTGTTTTTAATCGGGGTACTGTCAAACAGTTACCTACTTGTTGTTCATTTATTTATAACAGATTGCTACATATATATTTTAATGATTTAATAAAGATAAAACAAACCATATTATTGGGTTTATAATACATATATATTTATGGTTATATCATGATAATCAATATCAATAAGTATGCACAATACGTCATAATATTACATTTATATTTCCTTTAAGTAAAATAATCAATCATTTGTGTTCCTACCTAATATTAATGTGTTTATGTATGCGTATACACAGGTAAATCCTAATCCGGCTAAGGTTCAGCGTAATGAAATCAGCACTGCGATTTGCATTCCGTCTTCGTGCACCCATTCGGATCTACAGTCCACGTTGTCTCAGAAAATTATTTCTGCATTTAATGAAGAAGAAATAAACACCACCGTTACCGTGGACTCGCTATACTGCACCACGCAACACGACAAACCACCCAAGACATCAGGATTTATAATTTTTTGGTAATGTGTATTGGGTCATGGTCATAGAAATCATAATAAATGATATATTTAATAGTGTATTATTAATGAATACTTATATCTAGACAACGTTTTATGCTTTAATATCAAATATCAATCTTATGTTCTTGCAGCACATTATTTAAAAATAACGAGTTTTCATAAATTTATTTGTTTAGGTGTTTCATTTTATTTATAGTTGTATTAACAATTGTTGGAACACTACTCGATTTACATCCAAAGAAAGAAACTGAGTCGAAATGCAGTAAGTACATATTAGTGCAATATTAATTAACAATAAAACTTGTTCCATTTTTTATTATTATTATTTTACAACATAAATATGGTTTTTAGAATCTATCTTAGTAGCATTTTCAATCCAATCAAACCTGCAAAAGTTATTTTACAACAATACTAAGACTGCGGAATTTGCTGGCTGTAATTTCCTTAAAATAATGGCTTGTCTAATTGTTTTATTGGGACACCGATTGATGTACATTAGTGCACAGCCAGTTTACAATATTAACAAAATTGAAGAGGTGAATTGAATAGATATTTCTTCAATTAGGTTAATGATTTTTAAATTTTATTTTCACTTTTTTGTATTTAGACTTTTGAAATTATGATTTTTGGAATAGTGCATAATGGACCATTGGTAGTAGATATTTTTTTTGTCATCTGTGGATTCCTAACTTTTGTTAATATGTACAATGAACTAGTGAAGACCAAACWATTTAATATGCCATTTATATTATTTTGGAGATGGTGCAGGTAACAATATATACCTAAAATTTTTTGTTATRCTTTATCTCGTATAAGGATCTTATAATTTTATGAACTATAACTGAGTACCTCATTATTTTTTGTATTCATTTCTTTTATTAGTGATAAAGTTAGTAGAAAATTGTAGAATAAATATTTAAAACAGATAGGTARGTATATTATAACAAAAATGATTAAGACTTTCAAATTTGATTTAAAAATATATAGGTTCTTACCTTTACCTAATATATAACTTTATACAATATTATGCATGTATCCAACTAAATATTAATTAAAAACAATTACAAAATCGAAAAAATATTTATTCAGCTTTGTAGTATACTGTATATTGTACCTATAGGTACCTAACTATCCTAACCTATACATTTGTAATACAAGGTTAAGAACAATAATAACATTAATAACTAAATATTGATCATAAACTTATAACGTTAGGCGAACACATGAATGAACATAGAAAATATAACGTAACCAAACCTTTGATAGATTTTTGACAAGTTTGACATGGATGAAATTTTTGTTGGTAACTGTCAAAATAAATTATTTTTTTAGGGATGACACAAGAATAAAATTGAAATTCAATAAACTATATTTTTTCACATTTTTATTGATTTTGTAAAATTTAATTTTCAATTATTAATTTAGCTGGATTTAATGCCTACTGTATTAAATTACTGTACTTATTACCTACTGTATTTAAATTATTTTATATCAAGAATAACTTTGTAACAATTATAATATGTTACATGATACCTAAATATATAATATATATGTACTACACGTCTACACACTTAACATTATGTACGATGAACGATAAATTAATGGATACATTTTAAAATAATAAAATCGTTACAGACTAATCCCTCTATACAGTGTGATGATTGCGTTTTATTCTTTCGTGTTGATACACCTTTCGGACGGACCTTTATGGAAGCATATGGCTGTTCAAGAGTCGGAAAACTGTCAAAAAAATTGGTGGACCAACTTACTGTTTGTAAACAATTACGTCAATGTCGATCAACCAGTGAGTGCAGGAATATTATATAGTAATTAGTAGTATAGACTGGGCAATTATTATATGTGATTAAAACGATTTCATACAAACAGTGCATGATTCAATCCTGGTATTTGGCGTGCGACCTGCATCTGTGCGCTGTGGGCATACTAATTGTATACTTTATTTGGAAATTCCCGAAGAGCGAAAAAATTGTCCTGATGAGTGCAATAGTCACGTCATGTTTTATTTCAGCGTATGTTGTGTACGACCACAAATTTTACCCAACGTTCTTTGGTTTTATTTCGTAAGTGCATAGTACTTCTATAGTACTAAAGGTGAATGTTTAATATATTATATAATATTTAAGTGAATTAATGATATACTGGAATGAGACATTTATAGGTGGTACCTATATTTTTAAACATTTTTGAATTTCAGTAAAAACTATTTATTGAAATCAATTTTCAAACTTTTATACCTAGTTTGAACATTTATATTGTCAACATTAAAAAAAWATCAAAATTGTCAAATGCCTATAAAGTAAAAATAGCATAAAATTAGTCTAAATGTTTTGAAAATTTCATTAAATAGAATATTTTTATAACTGTTATTATTTTTTGAGTTACAACAAAAAATTTAGTTTTGCATTAAATAATTTTATTTTCCAAGTTGTTTTGAAAATTATTGTGAATTTATTACTTTTAATAACCATAAAGTTCTCCCTAAAGTTMTTCTAGATCTGATTTGGTACCAAAAACCACACTTAAGATTGAAAACAATTTTTAGTGCTCCAAAAAGTGATGAAGTACACAATTAATTTAAAATTTAAAAACAGAGACTCACATAGTAAAATTAATATCAAATTCATCATTTTCCTCTATCAAAAATTAATAAATGTTTATTAACAATTAGTTGAATATTCAAACTATGACATAAATGCAATTTGAAAACAATTGTTAGTAATTTTAAATATTTAAAAAAATGTATTCTTAAAAATAAATTATTATTTATTTAACCTAAAAATAATTAATTTTTATTTGTGAATATTATAAAATATATTATTTTTTCAATTAATGACAAGCAGGTAAGGGGAAAATTCTTATTCAAGACTTATTATTATTTTATGCAATTTTTTATAAKATAAAATAAATGTATATTGCAATTTATTATATTCGTCGAATGAAATATGACTGAGTACAAATTAGGAAGGTATAAATCTTAAAAATTGTTATTAAATTAATATACTTTTTCCAAAAAAATAATCAGATACTGAAATACCTATTGGCTACTTTCGATCTTAGCTAACACAATTTTTCAACAAAATAATTATTGTATGGTTTTAAGTGTATATTCGCTCATTTCGCTCCAACAAGATTTTTCTTATGAGTTTWATATAAGTATTCATAAATAATCTAGGTAAATATTATACATAATTACAGCCGCATATTATTTTTGGTCATTGGATATTTGATAAGAGAAATAGTGAAACACTTAAACTATTTGGAGGGATGTAGATACTTCTAGCAATAGCAATTAAAATGTGCATCACGATTATGAATACCTATAACATTTTTTCCAAAACTCGAATAAAACAAAGTTAATTTTTTATCGCAGAAACTTGAAATMCCCATCGAGCCACGAAGTGTTCACGCTACTTTACATACCCACGCACACGAGAGCGACGCCTTACTTCGTGGGAATGTTCGGTGGCCACGTTTACCGGACAACAAGAGCTCGGAAGCCYAACTTCCGGTTCCCGTATCCGACATTGTGTCTATGGACACTCGTCGGTGGCTGTGTACTTTGGATGATGTCTATATTTTACTTTTTCGTACATGAGTACAATGTGTGGGCGAGCGTCTTGTACGCYCTCGTGTTCCGTCTCGTATACTCGGGCGCAATATCGACGTTTATCGTTGTTTCCGCCGTAAACACTTGTTTCACAGGTACCTGTTATAACGGTTTGTCAAATACAACTGATGACCGTTCAAAAGCTATTTATATATGTATAATTTTAATCAAACCATAATAATTGACATCATATATGTGTATAAATAGGATCTTGGACATTGATACTCGCGCCATTAGGTAGACTCACGTACGGAGTGTATATGGGTGGATTGTCAATACAATTGTACCATATGGCTTCTGCACGTACTCATATATATTTTAATCATCTACTAAACGTTAGTAATATTACTTTAAAATATTGTATCTATATAATATATACTATGATAAATAATAATTAATAAGTATAATTCATCAAGCATGCTCATCCAGCACTCATTTTTACTGTTTTGACCCGAAAGCATGAAACCATCAAATTAAAAATCAAAACATTTCTWAGGTTCCAAAAGTTATTAGGAAAAAAAAATAAACATATAATTTTAAAATCAATATAATAATCGATCCACTCAAGATTTAAGTTTTTTCAAGAAAATCAAAATAAATTGCTTCTGCGTAAAATTTTACTGTACGAYGCCTGTATCTGTTGAAAATATTGACTTAGATTAATTTATTTCTGTAGATTTCTCGAGTCAAGTTATTTATTTAAGTCATAATCGTATTCAACAATTATACACTAATAGTCTAATGTCCATTTACTTCTCACACATTTTCAAGTTGACACGGACCAAATGTAAATGGTAAAATATGTACATGCCATATAAAATGCCTAAATATTACTCYTTATAAGTTATAACATGTCATTTTCCAGATAGGTACGAAAATAAATGTACCAACTTATTTTTCATTACCCAAGGAACATGTTGATTTAAATATTTTTTTGTGCAGCTGTGCACACGGTGGTTCCAACATGGTGAATGARTATCACCCTTATTTTTCCTTACGAATAAAATTTTTAAATATATATTCAAATTATACGATTTTAAATGGTTACCTAATTAGAAATGTGTTGTTACAATTTTCAAACCATCAGCCTTTAGCCTTAATTTGTTCAACTCGGTTGCACTTAATTACTTAAACAAGTTAAATCATTAAAAAACTACTCGTTTTAATTTTGATTTAAATTTATCAATATTTCAAAATAATAATAATAATAATAATAATAATAATAATCACAAAAATAAGTTTGTGTATAAGAAAATTAAAATATAATATATAAATTATAGTATAGAGGTAGCTAAAATTTTAATAAATGTATTATTAAAGGAAAAAAAGTGTGGGCATGCTTGTTGAATAATCCCATATATAGTTAGGACATATTAGTTATTATAGTTAGGACACCTCAAAAATCTAGCTTCAAGACATAATCTAGATTTTTCTTTTAACTTTCCTTCAAACTTTTTGATTATTAATCATTGGTGTGCATTATAATTAACAGTCATGGTTTGTGATTGGTGATTCAGTACATGGATTAATTATTGCATTCATCCTTTATATGTTGATCGAGAGTCCRTTTGAAAATCTATTAAAACTATTGATTGACAAAATAAAAGGAGGTAAATATGAAAGGCGAATCAATTATTATTAGTTGTTTAAAGTATTAGTCTAAATAAATAATTATAAATATTTTAAGTATTTTAAATTTTTGAAAATGTATAACTAGCAGACTAGGAACTATTATAATATGCAGGTATATGCCATTTAAAATTCAAGGTTAGTCATGGATTTTTTAAAATTGTTTTTAAATAACATTTTAATAGTTGGTATAACATTTAGGACACACTTAGTAGTGATCATCAAAGTTATAATTTTAATTAATATTTGCTTACAATTCATTCAACATATTTTTTAGATACCTAATTTAGTAGTTAGAACACATTATTTGTCCCTACTCCCTGGTATGTGAATCTAGTTCATACAAAACAAATGTGCAACTATTTGTTCAAATTGATCAATATTCAATACATATATTATTGGTTTTATATTATCTACTTACCTATATAATATATACAGGGTGATTMTTTTATCAAACAACACTCATTATTTCAAAAACTATTGAATTTTTTCAAATTTTTTTTTTTCAAAATTTTGGAACCATCTTGTTCTAGAACTATATATTTTTTAAATATTTTCACCCTTATATTTATCAGGTTAACCATTATCAACTTTTGATTTTCAAATGACAACCTATACTTAAAATTTGATAAACTAAWAAGACTATTTTTTCAATGAATTTTCACGTTTAAATTTTCATTTTTCGTCAATTCGTTTACAAGATATAGCCTCCCAAAGTTGGGTGGTTTTGGGTGGTATTTGTGTGTTATAGGTGTATGTTAGGTGGTATTTACACACAAACACCATATAAGTGTTGTTTGATAAAAGAATCACCCTGTATAGACTACAATTATAAGATTTTTTACATTTAATATGGCAGTACATTTATAATTACAATCAATAATTATCAAATTAATTAAATATTAGACTAAGAGTAAGAATATTTTAACTATATAATATGAATGATGATACAATAATTTTAAAGAAATTAATTAAAATTTTTAATTCAGGAAAACACGAAACTGAAGAAAAAATACCAAACAACACTGTTGAAATGTTACAACATACTATAGAAATAAATAGTTAGCATAACTTTTTTAAATGTATGTACCCAGTCACTAGAATATGTCAAACATATTTAAAATTAAGACACAAAATGTTTATTTATAAATATTAGATTTTAAATTGTAATACACTGATACCTATTGTATTCTTATACATTTTCTAATTTATATTTAAAATTGTTCTTATTGTCAAACGTCAACATAATTTTTTTACTTTGATTCGTATTTGTAATTGTATGAATAATGCATTCTCAGAATTTTTACAATTTATATTTATTACATATTGGTATGTTAAATGTAGATAATAAAGTTGTTGAAAATGTATAGTAGTTGGAACTGTTTATTATTTATTATTATAAATAATTGATCATATATCCTGTTGATCCTGATATTGCTTTATAGATCAGAATTGAAGATGTTTCATGGGATTTAATTATTGATATAGGTATATGTTGGTTTTAATGATGTCTGAAGTTTTAATCTCAGATTATCCATACATCATATATTTTTACAACATAATATTATTATTCCAGAGGGTGTAACACAACTTTATTGAAGACCAAATAATAAATTTTATTTGTTAATAATATCAGCAGGTATGCTATTTACACTATACATTATACATATTGTTATATTATTTATATTATTATCTAMTGTGATACCTTTATTTACCAACACATCTGTCCCAATTGTAAATAAATACACATGTTTACACATTTTCAATAAAAAAAATTGTTGTTCCAGTTTACTATAGCATCACTCGTTTTTTCGATCAAATGGATCAGTCCATTTGTTCATATCTAAAATAAAACATAATATGATATATGGTTACTATTTTATAAATTAATAACTAATAATAGTTTTTTTTTAAATGACATACTTCCAGCAGCTTCAGGGCTTATTCTAGATTGATCTAATTGTGCACGGTTTAGTTCTTGTGACTTTTCTAAAAAATTATTTTAAATTTAGGCAAGTTATACAAAAAACGTCAAATAACATTCTATTTTAGGAAGGGAACTCATCAAATAAATAAATCAATGGATTAAAAATTTATTTATTTTGTTTTAAAGCAATCTGTAAAATTACCAAAAAAAAAACAAGTATGCATGCGGAARTATATAAAGCTTGACATGGGTACATGATAAAAGCAACCACCCAATKATGACACTTTATAACTTGATTAAAAAAAAAATTTAATTGTTCATAAAAATGATTAATARTCCAGGATTTTGAAAATTTAGAAATACCCGAGTATTAAGTAAYGTTATGAAATGTGAATSTTATACTTATTTATATAAGATACCTAACTGTAATTTGAAAATATTAATAATTATTGTGTCAACACAAAGACATTAAAATAGCTTAAAATCCATAACTATATATTTATACCACTGTTTCATAATTTTTAAATACTCAATGTCTAATACGGCTAAGAATCTGACAGCATCAAATAATTTATCAACATTCACTTTGATGTTGTGTACTATATCAAAATTAAATTTCTAATTAATTATAAGAAATCATTGAAGTTAGTATAAAATCTTAAATTTATAATACATAGGCAATAATGGTAAAATTACATAATTATAAATTTTACTTACTGTAATCGTCAACGTGCGTCATTGGATAAATAATGATTGGATAAGTTGCTATTCCTATGCTGCCAACAAAAGCTGATAGGAATGCAACATACTTCCATCCTTTTAGATGAGACATTCAAACTTGACTTACCGAACTAAAGTAATATTATTCAACTTCTTGGTAAGAGAATAAAAAAATTAAAAGACCTAAAATTATTTATTTGAAATTAATATTTTAACACTATCTCATACTCAAAGGTATTTTGATTATATAGTATCATTTATCAAATTAGTTTTGAAAAATAGATATTATAATTTTGATACCTTTGTTATCAAATTTTATGTTATTATGTTAACATCGTTGACATTTGTGTCTTATGTGCAAAATATATTTTGTCTATAGTTATTAGTTAACATAAAACAATTTGTTGCTTTACATTRGTACATTGCTTCTGCTTTTATTTAATTATTCTGCTTGCAGTAAAAAAATATTATACAATCAATAAATTTTTTTTTTTTTAAAGTTACATGATGACTACTATACAAAATCATCTTAATTTCTTATAGTTGCAAATTTAAAGTTTAACATTATAACATATCTGTAGTAGTCCTGTGGTGCTGAAGACCAAAATTTTACTAATAAGCACAGTATTAGATATGACGCAWTATACAATTATGCTTATAAGTAGACACCTCTACATAAAACGTTGACACTCGCTTAACACAAATTGTATTAACAAAATTTGATTCACWTATGACAATTATTTAGGTACCAACAATTGCTATAGGTCAATACATACTTAGTTGCCACTCTGTAGTTTGTACCATTGACCCATAACAAACCTATGAATATTGGGTGGTTAAAGTATGTAACTAAAGGTATCAAAAATAAGAAAATAATTTTTAAATATATTATTTTTGTTTTTTTTTAAACCATTCCGCCTTTTTCCAGCTTCTGTCGAAGCTCTCTCAAACCGCTGCATCTTCAATTATTGCTCACATATCTTTGTAACAATCTCCACTCAGTTCTTCCAGACATGATCTTCCCTTTGATTATTTTTTATTTGGGTAGTTAGCGAGTTCCAAACGCCATACATGTAGGATTACCAGACATCCTCTTTTCCCCGGACATGCCTCTTTTTAAGCTTAAATAAAAACATTCGGGGGGTTTTTTTCAATATTAGAAAATTTCAGTGTTTTTCATGAAATGTGAATTTTTTTAATAATCACCTCGATATCCGTATGTAATAGGTATTTATATAATTGTCTTATTCTGTGTTAGTACTTATTTATTTCTAAATCACGAAGAAATTCTGTGGTATTTAATTTATTTTCTTAAGTCTAAATATCAACTAATAAATGTGTACAATTAAATATAATTTATACCTAATGATATATTATGCATATCATATTATTATTACAGTAGGTGTAATAGGTACATTATAAGAAAAATAAAATGTACTTATTAATAATTTTCATGATCTTGAAAAAAATGTCCATTTTTATTGTCAACCATAAATGGTAACCCTACATACATGGTCAGCTCTAACCTTTTTGACTTTAAAAATTGAGCAGGTTGGGTACATCGTACAGTCAGTTTAAATCAGCATTCTCTTTGCTCATATACACCAGTATAGATTTATACATGAAGCTTATTTATATCCCCTTGCATCGTAGACYATGTTTTACATATATTTGTAACAATGGTGCACAATTAGGCAATGTATTTTATGTATAGCTCTGTCTTGAAAGGAGTTGTATTAAGTTACAAATATTTATATTTTATACCATAGCCAAGGTTTAAAAAACCAGCTCAAGTTAGACCTCTATGTAATCCAAATAGCTAAACAGTTAAATTGACTTATAAAAAATCAATATGATGTATAAAAATGAGTTTACAATTATTTATATAACAATTTATTATTACTATACAAAAACATATAATTTAAATAATTTTGAGATCAGATATCTAATCTAGTACTTATTAACAACAAAAAATTAAAAATATAATTTCATTATTCAATTTTTTCATAAAAAAAAAACTAATTTAAATTAATGTTGATAAATAAACATGTTTTTGGGTTATTTTTTCCATTTTATACATCTATAAGCTTTGAAATTAGACACTTTATCATCCAAATGATCATAGTTATATGATTTAAAACAAGCTTCACACATATGGTTTACAGTTAATGGGGTTCTGTCATCATCATTCAGCATAACAATACTAGCTATATTTTTAGAACAATATATACAGTTCTTTAATTTTTCTTTTGCAACACTTATGACTCTTGGATAATTGTTTTGGCCAAGACAGTCATTTGGTTTAGCAACATTGATTTCATTAAATATAAAAAGATGTTCACAACGACCTAAATGTTGGTAAACATAGGGCTGGCCGATGCATACCTCCAAGTCCAAAAGTTGTGTATTCAAAGAAAGTATATTTTCAATAGTGTGACCATGATGACTTGCCCAACTTTTCATTGTTTCGGCATACATCATTGTAATTCCATCAGGTAAAGAGTCTACATATAAATTATTATTTATGTAAAACAAACCATGCTTCAAATCTGAATTCGATATGAAACCTAAAAACAAAATGAATAATAATCAAATTTATTATATTTTTATGTAAAAATTCTAAGTAAAAAGTAATTTATAAAATTGTTTAAAAGATATGAATATAAAATATTATTTGGTACACTGCTAGACATTTTTACTATTAATTTTTACTAGTATTTAAAAAGCTAAAAAATCTATGTACCAAACATCTATAAAGATCACATTTTGATTCTATATGGTACCTACTTTGAAGAGGTTATCTACCATCCATGAATTACTAAATTATCATTTGACCACATATAATTTAYATATATACATAAAAACTCGGGAAGGATCAATAAATAAAAATAAAAATGTCAATTTACTCAATGGTTTATTAGGGTTTTTGCTTATATCGCCACTGATTTCACTTTCTTCATTTTCACATTTGAATCCTTGTTTCAAATCTTGAAGAGTTTGTGTGTCATAAAATTGAAGAGATTTTTGACAGTGTGGAATGACAGCTTCGTCAGGAACTTGATTTTGTGTCCAGTGAAATGGATAATAAATTGAAATAGTAATCAATAAAGTTTCACCAGGCACAATATTTCCTCTTGGAGTAAAACTGGGGAGCGGAGTATATAACTTGGTTCTCTTGGTCTGATAAAAATCACTTTTCATAATATTAAGCGTTTGGAGGTTACTACTAGTAGTGCTGTAGATAGGAAAAACATAACGAGCACATAATGTATCCGGTGAATCAAAAACTTGTTGAAAATTAAATTTTTGTAACTCTGTTTCCCATTTTTTTATTTCATCAGGTAAATCAGTTAAATCAATATCCGGRTTAATTGATTTTAATTTTTCAAACACTAGACGATCCGTGACCTTTGACATTTTAACTTGATCAAATTTATAAGCATTCTCAGTCTTAAATTGTCTTAGGTTTATAGGTTTAGAAATGTAACAACCAAGAACTGAATCGCTGAATTCCATTGAAAC